AGTGCACCGCCTTGCTTGCTCCCAGCCAACATCGAAATGAAGTAACAAGGAGGTTTTGAAAACCTACTGCAATGATCTGGAGATAAATGTACCCAAACCAGTTACTACAGATGGTAAAAACCAATCCCCGCTCAGTTTTTGGAGAGGCAGAGTATCGCTTTTTTTTTTTTTTTTAACAAAACATTTCAAAATTCTGCTGTCAGAAATGTCTAGTTGCACCAAAACCAGAGCATTGGAAAATAAATCAACTGTCTCTGCCAATAAGAAGAACTTTTTCTCTTCCCCACAAAAATCCTGCCATTTCATTCATAAATAAAATAAGCCACTAACTCAGTTGTTGGCAGGCTCTCCCTTTTATCTTTCACTCACTTGAGAAAGACTAGCAACATCACATTTTCGGAAAGCCAAGTTTAGTAATCATAGAATCGGATTTCATGTATTTTTAAAAGCATTTGCAGCAGCAGAGCTCCAATCACTTTTAAAAGAAATATAAACATACAGAAATTGGGAAGAAGCAACTCGGAGCTCCTGACTTTCAACGCGAGATGAATGTGCTGGGAAGGAACATTCTAAAGGAGATCTCAAGAAGTTAGCAACATTACACTACAAGCACCACAGAGCCAGAATACTTATTATCTCAAATAAGCCTGGATGACATTTGAGATGCCTCGACATTTATTGGCCTGCCAGCAGAGTGGGGGATCAACCAGCTCCTTTTCAGTCAATTCTTTTTTTTTTTTTTTTTCCTTTCCTTGCTCAAAGTCCATGTTCATAAAATATTTAGCGGAAGCTCTTCAGAGGATGATATTGCCTATACTATAGCCCCAGTGCAGATTTACTGTGCTACTGAGACAGATACTCTGCCACCAGAGAAACCAAAAGAGCTGATGGGGTTGAGTTACTGCACCAGGAGCTCACATCAGACTGACAGTCTGGGCTCAGTCTCCGCCTGGGACACCAGCGTTAGCGGACAAAATCAGCTAACATGCAGATCTGGTACCTTTTGCATGGTTATGAGGAGAAATGTGACTTTTCAGAATGGAAAACAGAAATATGAATGTTCTGCCTGTTTCTGAGCCCCAGTTGGGGACAGCTGACCCTTTTTTACCTCTTGGTATTTTCTTCTCAGTGGAAAAAAAAAAAAGAGCAACAAAATCTGGAATTCAGATGCACTGCTAAATGAAGCTATCAGCTGGGTAGCATCTCCTAGTACCACCCATCCCTGCAGCAGCCTGCCATAAATTAAATAAGCTTGCATGGTCCTCTCCTACCCCTTGAACTTTGCAACAACCTGTCCATTTCATATGTTCCTAACCTTCCCTATTAATCTACATTTTGTGCTCCGACCACTATTTGATCTTTCCCTCCTAGTTTCATTAAATCAGTTACAGATTTCCTACGTTTCCCTGACGCTTTCCTGTATTAGAGCAAGTAGCTGCTTTTAACCTTTTCATCTAAGCCTGGCTGTCTGAACGTACCTTTGAACCTCTGGCACACTCTAAATCCCTATCATTTTCCCTATTAGTTCAAGGGATAGATGTTCCTTTGTTCCACCTTTGGCATTGCTCACCCTTAGGCATCCAGGAGCTTAAATCAGGCTATTGCTAAACTGTCCTCCTTTAATAATTTTTATGAAGTGCAGTCCAATTATCTTTATCTTCCTTGGGGATCCATTCAATTAAGCGCAGTCGTAATGACTGAATGGACACAGAGCATTGTAACCATATTTACATCCAGATTAATGGGAACCAGGTAAGATAACTTTAAAGCCATCAATATTTTAATACCTTGGCTTTTCATTTTGCTATCTTCAGTGTCAGACGCATTTAGAGAGACCGGCACAATTTGAGAGGCTGAGTTTTTAATTTCCTCCTTGGTTTGTGGAAATGAGGGTTTAGAAACAGCAGCAAACTACAAGAATTTGTCTTAAAACGTGTTTCTTGCAGGCTAACCGAAACACTTCTCATGACACAAAGCAAGCTGGAACGCTTCGTCCAGTTTCTTGGACATTTAATGAATTGAAGGTATGTAAGAAACCAGTAAAGAACCAGTGTCTAGGTGGAGGTGCTGAGAGCACTGGGAAGTCTCATTTAACGAGCGTACAAGAGAAACACTGAGCTAGAAACACCGATTTTGAAGTTACCTGTCTCCTCTCTAAAAGACAAATGCTGGATCTGGAACATGGATCTGTCTCTCAGGTATGGAATAGCTTTGACAGTTATTTTCGCACCTGCTTTGAGGCGCGTTTGCATTGCAGGAGCAAGGTGAAAGGCTCCGACGGAGACAGAAAACCTGGTTCTGTTTCAACACAGCTTAACATACTAGTGTCATAGGCACTGATAAATGTGTCAATAAGCATTTGGAGAAATAACTGGTATCCAGGGAATTTATCTTGGTGGTAGTAGTTCCAGCTGAATAGGTCAGATTTGTTAACATTTTAATTTACACAAATCTGCATTCCAAATACTGCTTTTCAGCTCCTTTTCCTAACAACAAGAAAATGTCAGCAGCAAAACCAAATTTACTCCTCTAATAGCTTTCTCAAGATTTCAGGAAAAACAAACAAAAACAAAAAACCAATCTGTGGTACAGTTATGGGAATGCTTAAACACATTTTTCACTTTAGACCTAATACAATTTTATGTTAATAAACCAGAAACTTTTGCCAACTCCAGATGTAATCCTGAAATGCAGTAGAAAGCGCTGGGAATAACCATGTCCCATAGCTTCGGGGCAGCCCCAGGACTGTGCCCAGAGCTGGTTGTTCCGCCTCGATCCAAGTGTCCCTTGTCCAACCTGGTACTCAGCTGTGGGACACCCAACACCGTATTTCCATATAACAAAGTGCCAGCTTGCCTTGATTTCCCAGATTTAGTGCAATGGGGGAACTAACATAAAGCCTGTGGTTCCTCTGCAAGCTTTTAAAATGCTTCAGACACAATGAAATAAATCTAAAAAACCGTTCTCCCTTACCCTTTCCCCCTAATTATCACCTGCCTCTTTTTCCAGCTGATTTGGTGAGATTAAAACCCTTCTCCCACCAAGCTATCCCAATCTATGTCTCTGAAATTAATATAAACTGACAACTTTCCTCTAAAAGCCTTACATTAAAATGCTGGGCCCCACTATGTCAAGGGGGCAACACTAGCTCCATCATTTCCATAAAATCAGCATTTTCCTGCCAGAATTCAGATCCTTCCTCCGAGTACTCTGCCACCGTCCCCCTGAGGGCTGCCAGCAATCTCTACAGCACTTGCTTCTCCTCTTCGACTGCAAGCACGCTGCAGGCTTCAGCATTGCCTAGAATAATCTACCTGCTTAAGATTCAGCTAACTTTCCAGTTCTCTAAATAAAAAGAGCAGGGAAAGGTCAAATCTGCCCTAGGTTGTGCTTGCAAAGTCCGCCACGTCAGGTGGGAAGGAGCAGGCTCTGGTGCTCCTCCTGCTTCCCTGGCTCTGCTTCTTATCTTCACATCTGGAAAGCTCTCCACTCACCCGACCTTCTCCTTGGAAAGCTGTTTCACACAGCATCTCCCCTCGGGTCGGCTTGCCCTGCAACCGTGCCTTGGGCAAGCCCCAAACCTGCGCCGTTCCCAGCCCGCAGCCCCCGTCCCTGCACCGGTCCCAGCGGCTGCCCCGGGGCACTCCGCTTGCTGCTGAGCTGCTGCCGGTGCTTTTATCTGTCTTCAGCAGCAGCTCCATGGCCATGTTTGGGATTCCTCCCAAAGCCACCGTGCAGCTCTGAAGCAAAAAAGTGGCCGCAGGCATGTAAATGAAATGGGCACGAACCCCGGCAGCGCGCTCGGCAGCGGGGCCAGAACTGTGCTGCTGGGGCTGACCTGGAAGGGGAGGAAAACTCCCAGGCAGGAAACTCATGCAGTCCGCACGTGGGGCCTCCTGCTTGCTCCATCTCTGCCATCGGTCACGGGGGAGGAAAGGAAGAACAAAACCGGTCTCTGGTGCCTTGTCTCAGAAATGCAGCACGTTGGGCTCTCTCAAAATGGGTTTCACTGCACTTGTTATCTTTGGGGACTGCCTGAACTTAAACATCTGAGCCTAAGACTATGTAAGTCCTTACTTTTGTATTTGCTGCACAGCCATACTACCTGTGGCTGGCTGCTCAATGGACAAAGGATCCTTCCCACCACTTGCAAGTTGAACAGGATCTCCTAATTGCACTGGACAGGTGACACTCCATGAACCGCATAGTTCAATGGGGAAAAACCCCAGAACATAAGATCCCCCTCTCCCTTCACACCCATTGACCCCTGTCCCCTCCTTCCCCAGTCACCCCAACCCACCGCTGAAGCTACATTGATCTTTGTTAAATGTGTGAGGTACAAAGGCTTTCTCCTTGAGCTATATCCACAACTCGAGAAGGCAGAGCTCTGACAATTATACTACATAGCTTACACTGGCAGAGTAGGCTTCTGCATTTGGAAAAGCTGTACATTGTAAAATACCAGAAAGAATAGATGTTAAAGGCAGAGCCTCACATGAAATCAAAATCACTGGAATACATTTTTCTAGTTTGGAAATGACACAAGGATGCCATCATGAAACATGCAAAGTAGGTTGAGTATAGGGTGTGTAACTGCTTCTAAAAATAACACGCAAAGAACTAAGCGAGACAGGTCTAGAAAGGGTTATAGATGTATGGCATTTATTTATCCCCTGACAAAAGGGGGACAAATGCCACTTTATTCATCCCCCTGGTCCTTCTGGAGTATTTTCTACATCTTTGAGTTGTACAAATTTATGCAAGGAAAATAGCAGCTTCGCAAGTTTGAAGATTCTCCCAGGGTTTCATCGACTGATACAGATTAAGACAAAAATATCACATCAAACCACGAAGCCCCACAGTTGCTGCAGAAGTAAAGACCACGATCTCCATGCCACAACTCAAACTTTCAGAGGTTTTGTATTTGAGACAGGATTTGGACTTTGAAAGTCAGCAACCCTCAAAACCAAGAAACCTGGTATGATGGCTTTTAAACTCACCTCTCTGTCAAGTCCAGCAGCCACAGTGACAATGTCTCCCGTCTCGCTGTTAATAGTAAACATGTTTTGTGATGGGCTCTGCGGGGTTTGAGTCACAATTCGGTATCTCACCATCCCGTTCGCTGTAGTACTGTCATCTGCATCGTTGGCTGTCACTGTCATCACGTAGGTGCCTTGGAACAAGAGAAGATGAAATATCAGGACTATCTCATTGCAGAGCAGATTGCAGTCCCATTGACTCAGGGTCCTGCATTTTACTCAGAAACGCTACGGGGCAGACATCCCATTTCAATCCAGCCAGCTAGGCAAGGCAAGGATTATGAAAACAGTAACACTGCTGAGACTAGATGATCCGTAAGGATACTGATTACACATAACTGGTATGTAGCGAGAAGTCATATGAGGATATCTATGATTAACTTCTAATTCTTTCAGCGATTGTAAGTTTTAGGGCAGCAGTTTTTGTCCTGCAATTTCATATAGATTCTCACAGGAGACTTTTTTTTACCCAATCACAGCATTCACATGCATTCAGAAGCAGAGTTTAATAGTGGAAAGCCCGTCAGACTTCTCAGTGGCTTCAGAAGAACCCCATCAACATGCCCATGACCAGTGCAGGAAGCAACTGCCTGCTGCCTCCAGTTCTTGGAGAAACGTCCACCCTTCTGGCCCCTTCTGGAGAAAAAAACCCATTTCTGCAGAGCAAATGGAACAGCTGCTGCCCAGCAGGACAGAAAATCAATGATCTGGTATGTGTGGCCAGCGACGTATTGAATCATTGGTTTGTTTCTTGCTAATCATCGGTGTCTTCATTTGCCTTGCAAAAAACAATCCCTACTTTCTAGATACTGTTGGGAGTGCACTGATGCACTGACAGGCTCATTATCACTGGAGTTTGGCAGCAGGGTGTTTTGCTAAAGTGGGAAATTATCATTACGAGGGTAAAAGATGTTACTTGATTGGATGGACTCCTGCAGCTGCATGGTCCTGTGACCCCCCAGAGCTCATAGGGCCCAGCTTTATGCTTGTTATATTGGTAGGAGAGAGTGTCTATAAGGGCAGACACATACTGCTTACAACAAGCAATCTGTAACAGCGAACAGTGGATGAACTAATGATATGAGATCTGAAAGGAGGAGTGGGAGGCAAAGAGAGACAGCAAAACCAGATATAACCTCCTTTAGTGACCATCAAAACTCAACAGCATCAATGGAAAGACAGAAGGTACCTGCTTGAACACTGCTTATTCGGGAACGCTGAACAGGATGAACCAACTTACAAGCCTGCCGTGCTGGAGGAGGTGCAAAGTGGCCCCAACAAGAATCTGAGCTGATTCAAGATGGAGCCACAGGTTGTTTTACGAAAAGAGCCGAGATCGTTCTGCCCACTTGGTTATACGTGAGTCACTGCCCAACTCAAGGACATGTGGCTACATGAGGACTGCATCGTGCCTCATCTAATAAGCCCTGATCGCCAGCTTGGTCACAAAGCTACCAAGCTTCCAGTTCAGAGAAAGCAGAAAGCTGGAGAGCTGGCATCTGTTTGCAAGAGAGTTTAAAAACATATCCCATGCTCTGAATGGGCTGCAGCATGCCCCAGCTTTGTATCCTAGCCAAGTGTCTTCAAGTCACTCTGCACATAGACAATCCCTCAGTAACCTCCCCAACTTTGGGAAAACAACATTTCCCAGTATCAGCAAGAAGTTTGTTTTTTCACTGTGGAAAGTGCTTTGCTGAACTCCTTCCATCTGGCTCAATCAGGCTCTTTTTGTTCACTGTGGTGATACATACCCCTGTGAGTTTTCTTAGTTCAATAGGAATTATAGATTAAAAAATAAATGAACGTGTAAAGCAAATTCTAATGATGAATACATTCCTATCTTTCTGCAATAATCCCGATTCACATTTGTGAAATGAAAACAAACTATTCAACAACTTTAACATTTTTCCGATCGATAAACTTCAGGAGAGGGAAGGAACACTGAATTGTAACAAGGCTGTGCAAGCAATGAATTTTCTCCTTTCTCTTCAAGCGTTCTTCTTTTGCTCTTTTTCAAAACCAGTTATCACGAGACAACTGATACAAATAAAGAAGCCAACCCTTAGATAAGTACAGGGGAAATGTACAGGAAAAATTTAAATAGGAAATGCGCTGAATGAGATGCTTGATTTGGAATTTATGTTATCTTAACACATTCTATACCAAAAATATCTCTGAACAGAATGTCAAAAACTGGGGCTAATGAAAACAGAAGAGGAAGAGGAAAACAGAATCTGTTCTAGGACATGTGCAGTCTTAGGACATATTCCAAAAAAACAGTGGTATTTTGTGATTTACTTCTAGTGCAAGAAGCAACTCAGAAAGGAAAGTTATTGGGGCTACTAAGTTCAGATGAGAGCACCCTGCAGTTCTGGTCCCTCCTCACCTGGGACCTCTCAGACTGCACTGTGGTTTCCAAAATAAATCAGGACACATGGGAGACAGTGGGCTCCCAGCTTGGCAGGGGAACCCAGCTCCTGCTGTGGAGGACATGGGGTGAGCTGACAGCAGATATACTGTGCCTGGGGCGTACAGTAGGTCTCCTTCATGCTTTCCCTGACCTTTTTGCTTCTTTTCTGCAGTGTAACATTGGACTGAGCACATCTGTTCTAGAAAAAAGGCCTATTTCAACAGTGTTTGACCTACATCCCCATAAAGGGAGATGGGACTGGACAAACGTCTCTAAAGTCATGAATTGAGCACCAGGGAGCTGTATTTCAAGAGGCAATCTGCTCCCTATCTCATATCTTTAATTTCCATTATGAAACCCAACCACAGAGAAAATAAAGAGAGGAACTCAGCATTAATTACTAACTTGTAACTTAATAAAGCGTCCTCTGCAAAGGGCCCTGTGTGGCTGCAGCACTCTGCAGCGCATGATGGAATTGCAGCAGCTGCTTCCTTCCCCGGCTCTCCCCTGCTCCCTGGGGCCACTTGTCTGACCACAGGCTGCTGTAAACTGGCTGCAAATTACTTCTTCCTCTCCGCAGTCTGGACGGTGGCTGATATGTCCGTTCCCATTTCTACGAACATGCATTTCCCACCTGGTGATGTCGACCCAAGAATAAGAGCGTGATGGCATCTCCTGTTACCCATGCTGAGGGCACCACTCCTGAGGACCACTCCCAGGGGATCAGCTGTTGTAACCTCCACTCATCATTTATGTTTCACTCAGTTTTCTATACGTTTGGTCTGTCTCTAAGCAAGAGGGATTCTCTAGACACCCGTGTGCTGCAGTGAATGACATAAACATTTATCTTTGCAGAAGAATATTCGATAAAGCGATGTGGATATATACTGCTACAGTGCCTGACATCTTCTGGGTGCTATATAAAGTCTTCCACCATACTATGAGGGTTGGTGATGATTTACCTGCTATAAAAGTAAATAATGTCACGTTTTTATGTCCTATACATGGGGATATATCTTCACATACTTTATATTAAAATAAATACATCCCTATATCCAGCACCTATTACTACACAAATTAGGCAACTAACAGCGGCAGACTGCACAGTTCTTCAAGGCTGACTGGAAGCTGGTGTTGCTAGGGTTTAAGTGAAAAAGTACAGAGTGCCCAATCTGGCCTGCAGGATGTGTGTGTGTTTTGTGGAAATCAAAGTATTAATCACACCATCCCTAAACCCCCGTACTCCTGTCCAAGCAGACTGGCAGCAGTTAGTACAGACCAGAAACATTGGGAAAAGTCCTCCAAGTCACACTCAAGACCCCCATGCTGTACTCTCCTGTTTTTGGGTCAGATCCCGCCAGTGGTGATGGAGCTACCAGAGAGGTGTATAAACAGGGCAGGAGGGACTTCATGCTTTCAGTGTGTGAGAGAAGCATTAGCTTTATTTTTCTGCTCTGAAGGGCTTGCTCTCATGCCCACTAACAACATTAAATGAATGCATGAAGTGCCGAATCTCAGGAATTTGCCCCACTCTGTGCAGTGTATCACATAATGAACGCCCAGTCCGCAGAGTGTCTGATATAACTGTGTTAAACTACACACCTGGCCCACTAACTCAGGTAGATAACCTGTTGAAAGAAAAACATTTCTCATCAAATCAGGCACATGGTACCTTAAATAAAATACCTAACCTAGTACATCATGTCAATATTAAATCAAATTTGTTGCATGTTGAACAGCTCTTC